CCCAATAACAAAGGCCTCGTGATAGGGATAGTGGTTTCAGGTTTAGCTTTAACTCCTCTCATTATGAATAGTGTACAGACATTCTTTGTGAATCCTACTAATCTCCAACCTGCTTCTGATGGGTAAGCTTACTTGATGTTTCTTGACAAATCGATTTAAACTTTTTCATACTTTATTTTATTTTTGTTCAATAAATCCTCGAAGAACTCGATTGTTTGATTTATAGGTGTTTTTTCATTGTGTTGGTCACAAGTGTTTAGAATATCTTGGGTGAAGAGTCAACATTTTATCACCATATATAACCCAGTGTATCTTGTACATCAGAGTTTGAAATAATTTTTAATTATTTAGAATAAAATATTTACATTACTTAAGTTAAATACTTTTTTGTGGTGCTTTCTAAAGACTTTAACTTAAGTAATGTAAATACTTTATTCTAAATAATTAAAAATTATTTCAAACTGTAATGCACAAGATATACTGGGTTATATATGGTTTTAAAATCATGGTTATGAATAAAAAAAAACTAAAACCTAGGAACTTTATCATGGAAATATTTCCTAACAAAAATAAAATACTTTCAAGTGTGTATAATACATTTTTAGGTTTATATGATACAATGTATGATCTATTATTAAATTCATGGAATTTGGAAATATTAAATGTTAGCTGTTGAAAGTTGCTGAATTATATTTTAGTTACCAAACTGGAGGAAGCTATTCTAAAGACACAAATATTATATCACATAGGGAATTGAAGCTATTATTTACCTATGAGTTTTAACTATTGCTAATTTTGTTTGTTCCATTGTTTGTAATTAAGTGCAAAGCTACACAATGGGCTATCTGTACTGTGTCAACCAGTTGCATTGAACCCAGTTTCTAACGTTATAACTGTTCAGACTTACTTCTGTGCTACTATGGGATCTAATGCTGTTCAACCTCATTAGTTCAAAAACCAATTTAATTTTTCATTAAAGAGTAAACTCTCGATATTTTTTCAGATTCTTTTACAACGATGAAATCATAGAAAGTGTTCCAGTTTTGTTTCTGATAATGGGAAGTGTTACTGGTGGTATTCTACTGATTGGGCTGCTTATGTACCGAGACTTACCACGAAGGTCAAATCAGGTTAGATGAATTTGATTAAAAAGTTTACTAATAGTATTATAAATTACAAAGCAAATTCGCATCATATCGACTGAACAAACCCGACTTATTTACTAGTGTCAGTTTTTATTAAAGCGAACTGGGATTATTTTAGACTGGACAATAATATATATATATATAAACTAAATTAATTATT